AACATTGGGCCAAACTTCTGTCATAGCTTTGTACATGTGATTGACCACACCAAGGAGAAGATGGAGTTCCATTGGTGTTATGAGCTCCAAGATGAGTTTGTTTTCAGAATCAGATAGCAAAGGCTCATGCACTACATTGCCAAAAGATTTTGCCTTTTTGATATCACCACCAGACTTAGCAAACTCTTAATAACAGGCAACAAGTGAGCCTAGTGTCCTCAAAGATCCTGATTGAGAAAGATGCTTTGATTCTGTGTTGCACCAAGAGCAAGGGTGAGTACTTGCATGGCTCTGAAGGCCACAAAGGATGTTGGCAAGTTTCATGTCGCATGAGACAACAAAGTTGACTTTGTCTAACTTGATTAAAGACAAGATCTGCCTCACATTTTCAAAGTTTTCTGGTAGTCCTTCTGATAAAGCCACAAGCATTTGACGCTTTACACTACTGTCTTTGGCAGTCCTCTGAGTTAAAAGTTTTTTCTGTGGTGGTGACCTTGAATCACAGTGAGAATTCAACTCCATGATGCCAAGAGAAACTTTCAGAAATCCTCCTCCTCCATCAATTTCCAACTTGACAATATGATTCTGGAAAACTCTTCGAGAAAGCAGGACTTTATTCAAAAGCTCGGCAAGATCCTTGCAATGCACAACCACAATGTCAGTGGAGTTACTCTCTGATAAAACATGGATGCTGGTTTGAGTAAAAAACTCAGACAACTGTTTGCCAATGGCTTCAAACTTAGCAAGAAAACTAGTCTCCACAATCTTAGTGTCACTGACTCTGTTGATGGTTGATACCAATTTCTTCATGCCAAGGTTGGACAGTCCTGTGTTTAGCTGAACTTGTACAAGATCTTCAGTTTTGATGCTGGGTTCAGGAAAAAGAGCTCTTGCACTTGAGCTTCCTAATAATGAAATTATATTAACACTTTTTGTAGTTTTAAGTTTTAAAATTAAAGGTATTCCCTCTGAGCCTGCCATCTTTATATGTATATATAAAAGTATCACCTGTTTTAACTCTAAGTGGTGGGCCGCCTTTAGGATGCGATATTTTGATAGTACCACCAGGTGTGGAAGGTTTAGTAGAGATGACTTGAGTAACTATTTGTTCTGCAGCGAGTGGATCAGCTGTAGCTAGCTGCTTGAGATTCTCTCTAAAAGTGAATGGAGTGCACTGATGTGGCAGACCTCTTCCAACTAGACTCAAACAATCACCACATCTTTGAGGGGTACAATCTTCCACAGGTTTAGAATAGTCCACTGGGCTCTTCTCATTCAACTTCAAATGTCCAACTTGACAAATAAGACAGTTGCAACCTTGATCTCTTGTTGGTGGTCTAACTTTTATAGATGAGAAAGGAAACAAAGGTGGCAGGTTAACATCTTTTCCTTCATCTTTTCTCCAAAGAATTGTTCGACATGAGTCACAAATGCCTCTTGGCACTCTGGTATCAGTCAAATCAAGACTTGTATGGTAATGCTTGAGGATCTTTTCAACAAGGAACTGTGTCAACTCTCGAGAGCACTTCTTCTGACACAAGACACAGACAGATTTCCGACAATCTTCATGATTTTTTGAAAAATTTGGCATTTTGAAATTTTCCTCACACAACTGATTAGTGAAACACTTTAAATAAACATGTTCACTGCCTATTCCCGGAATTTTCGGCTTGTTTACAATTTTGATGCAAAACTTAAAATAAACATGTTCACTGCCTATTCCCGGAATTTTCGGCTTGTTTACAATTTTAATGCAAAACTTAATTAAACATGTTCACTGCCTATTCCCGGAATTTTTAGCTTGTTTACAATTTTGATGCAACAAAATGTTTATAATATAGTTCAACCATGAAATTGTAGGTAAAATTTTATCTTCTGAGTTAAAATAAATACAAATTATACTTGCTATATAGACTGTTATGTTTCAGAGTAATAAATGCTAATTTTGGAGAGTTTTTGAATGCTGTAAAAATGCAAAATTTGAAAAGCTGTCATTTTGCCCTATTGTACAAAGTACTAAAAACTAAAAATCAAAATTATTTTCTTGGACGAAATAGTTAGATTTTAAATTTTACATTTTTGGAGTCAGGAAACATTGTAGTTTCACCCTGTCAAAGCGGTTTTCTCGGGTCAGCTCAAAGTTGTTTTTGGTCATTTTTTACAACAGTGAGTGGTCTGACTTTAACGTACATAAAATTTTCGGAGATACGTCATTAATACATTTTTCAAAATTAACTGTTACCTATTTCTATGGTAAAATACCCCCTTAGTTGCTATAATTAAGAATCATATTTTGACATTTTTATTGATAAAATAGTTGTAGTTAAAGACATTTATTTGATTTAAAGTGGTTTGATTAATGTAAATTATGTATATATATATATATATATATATATATATATATATATATATATACAAAAATGTAACAAATGTAACAAATATTTTTGTATATGTATATATATATATATATATATATATATATATACAAAAATATTACAAAAATGTAACAAATGTAACAAATATTTTTGTATATGTATATACATATATATATATATATATATATATATATATATATATATATATATATATATATATATATATATATATATATATATATATATACAAAAATATTACAAAAATGTAACAAATGATGGCTATGATATAGTCGAAACATGTATTATAAAATAAATAATTTCAACAAAAATTAAAAAAGTTGTCTTATTTATTAGAATATTTACACATTTTGTGCTGAAAAGAAACTTTGTAAATAATATATATATATATATATATATATATATATATATATATATATATATATATATATATATATATATATATATATATATATATATATATATATATATATACATATCGTCACCTCAAAGCAAGAACGCACCATCTCGGTTTTTTGCTTGATGGAGAAAGTGAGAAAACTAACTTTGAACGCACATGAAAAATGTTTATAGTCAATACACAATTGATTTTTCAAAGTTTTTTAAAATAACACAAGTAATAAAAATACAATTATTATTATCAAACCCTTAATTTTAATAGGCAACTATCATTTTTAGCAAAATTTAATCAACCTAGTACCAGATGGTGCTTTCTTGTCTTAATCAATGATTGTGTATCAATGCCAGAATGAATCCCATAATGCACCAACGTAACTACTATACTGCATGCTTGCTATCATTACACAAACAATACACACAATATATAATGCCCAATGAAAATAAATAATTAAAATTATAATCAACTTTATTTTGTTATTATTTGAAATTTTCATACAGCATTGCAACTTTTATAATCAGAGCTATCACTGTCATTCAGTCTTTTCACTGTCGAACTCGTCATCAATAAAGTCTTTAGTGACTGCGACTGATACAGGGAGATTCTCAAAAAACAATTTATATTCAGTGGATATGACGCCTGCTTTACACAAGCTAATGAGATTGTTCTTTTTTGCAGCCGAAATGGGTAGTAACGTCTTGTATGCTGGTTGTAGACAGGGCTCTACGTACTTCTACGTATTTTCAACTGGACTTATATTTATCGAGAAATTTTAAATTTCATAGTAAAACATTTTAATGTTCACGTTTGAGGCAGGGGAGAGGCTAATATTTTAGAATTTCTTGTTCCCATTCTCCTATCACAGTAATTTTTTTTTTAAAGAATCTTTTTGTCATATAAATGAACGTAAAAAAAATTTGGAATAATTGTTGTTTATAAGTTGGTTATTTCAAACATTTAAAAACCTTTCAGTTTAAATTTAAGTGGCTAGGAATTGGTGGTTTTACTTTAGTGTTCACTGAAAAAGTATAACGTTGATAAAAACATACCTTTGCAAACTTCCTTTCCACCATTTCCGTCAGCATTCATGAAGAAGTTAACAGTTTCTGCCAACGTAAATGTTATTTTTTGCTTTTTCGCCGCCATTAAATTAAAGGTTTACTACAATGGTGTTTTTTCTACGCTATATCAATTGTACAGGTTCAATTTGAAAGCATTCGAGTGATAATTCACCATATAAAGATGTTGCTCTTTGCTGCTGCTATTGTTGTTAGACTTTTACAAGCAATAAAGTACCATCTGCATATGGTGCTTTTACACAGTAACCAGTTTGGCAAGAAACTATGGTAAATTGAACCATCTCAGATGATGCATTGTTGCCAATAAAGAATTTTCAGATAGCTAGATGGTACCTAATTTTGCACACAATTTTGACATTGTGCAGTGCACTATCTACAGTTGGTGCCTTTCTTTCCTCAAGTATATAATTGAACTGAGTGTTTTTATGCTCTAACATTAAAATTGACAAAAAATCGATATGGTGCGTTCTTGATTTGAGGTGACGATATTCATATATATAAAAATAATCAAAATGCAAAAGACTTGAACTCATCTGATGAAAGTTTTGCAATATGTCTTAATAAATATATTTAAAAGCATTTTAGTATTTTAGCACTTTAGCTTTTTTAGCATCTTTTAAAACCTTAGAATGACTTAGTAAAGCATTTGCATGTTTTCGATTACCGTGATGAATGAGATTCATAGGGTACATACACACTGTATACATAATATTATATAGAGTACATACTTACTGTATACATAATATATACATACTGTATACGTAATACTATTGAAGGTTTGGCCAACACTATTTACCATTTTTTTAAACAGTTATTTAAAACAATAATTATTTTTACCGCTTTTACACTTAATTTATAACTTTTAAACGCATAATTTTAAAACAACTTACACATGATTAGCAAAATTTGTGCGAAATTATATTGTACTTTGAGTAATACGTTCCTGAATGGGAGGAAAAAGGGTTGAAATAAAAGCATAGGTACATTATAGATGACCTCTAATGACAAATATTTTACTCTAGTTTAATAAATCTTAACCCTGCTTGATTTTTTTTGAGCAAAGCTAATTTTTTTATGTGCATTTTATAGAGCAAAAACAAAATTTGCTGATATAAAAAAAAAATCTTACTCCTAAATATGGATTTTTATGATTTTCAATGTTTTATCATATATGATACAGCATGCATAAATAGTACAACATTATCATAATATTATAAAACAAAACCTGGCAGGAATGTTTTATCTCTACAAAATAGTTATATAAAAAAAAAAAAACATTATGCATGAGAGCAATGAATAATAAGACATGAAACATTTTAAAACAATCCTTTCTTTGTTTAGGCAAAGTCCAACGTTACATTTTTCACTTACTATATCTGTTAACGCTGAGTAGCCATGAAATTTACAGCGAGAACGAATACTACCTACAATTGACCAATGCCCAATAGCATCAGTTTGTAAGAAATATGAGACATATGATGTTTGGGTCCTCTTTTTGATGGAACACTAGAATATTGCTCGGAAGGACAAATCAGCTACAATAAGTTTAAATTTTACTAAAGAAACTTTAAAATTTTTTTTATTGCAAAGTATCCATACATTAACAATAGTCATGTCAATGAAGTAAAAGAAGATACAATGGTACCATTTTTGGAGCAAACTTTGTTTCGATAATAACCTAAAAGAAAGTCAGGTAAATCAACACATGTGTTTATTATAAATTTGAACTACATTTGGACATAAATTTGAACTACATATGGAAACCAAGATATTTTTGCGTTTTGATTTTGAAAATCTCTGAACTTCTGTTATTGGTTGGCAACCAACATAAACATAGTTTGACAACAAAGTTACCATTTTATTATCAAACCAACACACAGCAGATATCTTTATTCCTTCAATAACAGTGAATTGCTCAATATGATACCCACGTTTTTGCTTCTTAAATTTTCGCTAGTAAAGGGCAATTTTTAAATTTGTTTTGACAAACAGTTCCTAACATAAACATACCTTGGCCATACGTATAAACAATGCAATGTTGCAATGCAAATACTGATAAACCAGTTGTCAACATACAGTTTATGGTTAAAATTACGAGGAATAATGCGTGCAAGCCATATAACAACGTTTCCACTAGCACCAACATCTTGTTCAATTGGAGCATACACATAATCAGATTTTCCAGTAAACAATTTTAACATTAATTTTAAGCATGTTTTTTTGTTTCTATATTGGATGAATACTTTTGTTTTTTGTCATTAAAGAATTAATAGGCATAACTGATACAGTGTTACTAGGTTTGGATTCCGTCACTTGTGACTCGTCATCAGATGATAACCATTTGCAAGAACTCCTATCTACAGGTATTGGAACATGGTTTGTTGACCTCACCTTGCGAGCAGAAGATTTTCCATAAAATGAATCAGTAATTATTGCTAAAAATACAAAAAAAACTTTTATCAAGATTTATATTATTGTAATACCATATTTCCATGGTTACCATATTATTAGAATATACATAACTTAATATTACTTAGTTTATAACTTTATTTAATAAGTTTAAGTACTCAAAACAAAGAGATTACTTCTAAAATACGCGTAAATAATAAATGAAATAAACTTTTAACGCATGTTGTATCATATCTAATACAATTATATATAACAAAATTACATATTGTTACAAATTTGAAAAACCTCTAAATTAACTTTTTTCACAAATAGAGAAATATCCATTATTTCCATTTCAATTTTATAATCTTAGTTTTCTAGATTCTATGAACATATTATAGGTGAAGAACTTACCAGAACAGCGCTTGTCGCACCTGGTCGCCATTTTGATAATTTAGAAATAAAATATTGTCAATGTAACAAAATAATTTAAAATTTTTATGGTTAAACATGAAAATATCTTATTAATGAAAAATCCCATTAAAATATTTTGCTGAAATCATAGTTCGTTATCCTTTATTATAAATTGTATCATATATGATACTCTCTACGGAAAGAAATTTATAAAAAAAAAAAATGCATATTTTTGGTTACCATAACTAATATATAATAATAACAATAAAAAGTTTTTTTTTGGTAGAAAAGTTTCACAAAATTTGAAATTGAAAGAGTAATTTGAGCGGTAACTTAACTATTAAATTAAGAAAAAGTGCATGTTGACATTTAGTGCTAGAAAAAATAGTTTATCACATTAATTGTGCTTATAAAAACTAAACACCCGAGACTATTTTGAAACGGCATGTGAGAAATTAAAAAAAAAAAAAAACAAGCGAAAAAGAGGAGTTGGAAGTGTAGTGACAAAAGGCAAAGAAAAATTGACTTATTATTGGTGCTAACTTGATCATCCGACAACACAGAAGGTGTTGATAAATACAGCTTTTCGTATCCGTTATTTAACTAAGTTTGATCGCAGTTGGAATATATTTCCATGGTTACATGAATACATTTGTATATTTAGATGTTTAATGAATGTTTAAATTTTAGTTTTTAGTCTTAATTAAGGCAAAACAGCCATTTTGAAAACATGCAAGAAAACCATAACCTAAGAGTAAAGCGATGTTTCACTAGGCAAACATTTTGGGTATATAAGAGTTCATTCTGTCATGAAGAAGAAAATAATCTCGGTTACTTACTATTTTTCTGCTGACGAATTAAAGTTTCGACCATAAATCATTTTTTAAATTTCATCTAGAAGAATTCAAAATAACCATTTTGTGGTAAAATTAATGCCAATATTTCTTGATAATTCTATGAAAAACAAATTAATAATGTATGAAAAACAAATTACTCTTTCAATTACTTTAAAGAAAATGATTTGGATAAAAAACAAGTCGAAAAAACCCGTGATCAATTTTTATGATAAAGACTACAGTTACAAAAAATAAAACTTGTTTATAAGACACATAATAAGTTTTCTATCCAATCGCACGCGCATTTCAAAAATTGGCAGGTGTTTGTATGTTTGGAAAAATGAAACATCGTTGGCAAAAAGAATTGACTGTGAGACTGCTGTGATTGAAAACAAAAAAAATAAAATAAAATAACGAAACTAATTCAAAACATTTTGTAAATTATTTTTAAATTTTACAAATGAACTCAAATTATAGCTAATCTAGGTTTATCTAGTTAATAAAAATACTTTCATTTAAAACTGTTTTTTTTAAATACTGTCGAGTATTTTAAAATTAAGGTTGTTTAAAAAGAATATTAAAACAACAGATTCCGTTCTAACATCTGTAAAAAATTAAAATCTTATACAAGCATTTCTGATTGAAAAAGTAAAAACAAACAGTAAGCGATTGCTTAGTTTATATTTCAAAAGCGGGAAAATATTTGCTTGAATAAAGCGCTCACAACTGTTAAGAGGGAGTTTAAAAATATCAAACTGTACATTTTCGGAAATTCGTAGAAAGCGTAGGTTATCGTGATAACAAAGATCAAACAATTAAAACTTTTAAATTAATTAGCTATAAAATCAAAATCAGTAAAATCAGCAAAAACTTTGTCAACCAGCCAAGTTCAATAGTTTTTTATTTTTTAAATTACAAACGGAGTAAAATGTTTATTAATATTGTTGAGATTTATTTAAACTTTATTATGATTGATTTATTTCTGAAATTCGACAAAGGCTCATTTTAATTGTTACATCTAGAAACTATGTGCAGCTGTTTTACGCAGCGAGCGTTACATTTACTTTATCCCTACATTTGCAGGCAAATGAAATTAATGAAGCGCGTCTAACCATGAATTTGTTGTATGCAGAAAGTTACACTCAGTCGTTAATTATTCATACGTAACTTTAGTAGGAAGCATCCAGCCGTAAATTTGTGAGCTTTGTATGTTTGATATACATAAATTCGTTTTTAGTAATTATATACATAATTTGTATATTGTTTTTTAATATTAATATATGTACGACCCACACACACACATAATGTTTTATATACTCTCCACGCTCCTGATCGGAGCGCTGGTCAAAACTGGGTTAGCTACTGATGGAGAATTTACGCTTAAAAAAGATACAGATGAGTCCGGAAGTATGAAAGTAAAGAAGGTTAGAACCCATGCTGCTTCTTGTTTCTTCTCATTATTGTTTGACTTAATTTAAAGGTCCGTCTTTTTTAGCAGTGCAATTTAAACCGTTTACAATTTCAACTTTTTTCCTTCCTTTTTTTTTTCTTCGGGCATTAAAAAATGTTTTTATCGTTTAAATTTAATAATTAATAATAATAAATTCTTTAATTAGTACTGTTGGAAATTGATATTTGAAATTGATAATTGATATATTTATATAAATTAAATGCATTAGATTTAAACAAACTTTTATCACCTAAAATGTAAAAATTATTCTACAGAAAAGAAAATTTTACAGACCATAGCGATTATATTTATTTTCTTAACGAACCACAGCGGGCCAATGAAAATAGTCTTTAAAAATCTACTAATAAAAACACTTTTTTATTAAAATATTATACTAAATATTAGTAGTTTTCATTTTTATATTAAAGTTTTATCCATAAAACATGAGTTAAAAAGCTGAAAAAATAGCCACTACAAAAGCAATTATTTTGTGTACAGAACATTGTATTAAGTAAATGAATAAAAACATAAATGCTCAATGCTTAAAAATTATTTACTATGTGAGTTTTCTTATGTATAAATTTTCTTATATATATTGCTTTATTTTTTATTTAATTATGTGTAAATTTAGCATTAAACAAATTTTGTACAACAAAAGTTTCTTGAGCCTAAAGTTCAAGTTTTGCGGTACTCGTTGCTTGCATAACACTGCGACAGTTAACCGTAATAATACTTAAAATTAACTCTTTAAAAGTCAAAGCAAAAAAAAAAAAAAAAATGTTTTCAATTTATAAACTTTTTGCTCATTTGTAGATGATTGCCCCCGGATATTACTCTCAAGAATGCAACGTTCATAAACCGTGTCCTGACCCCACGAAATATTGTCATATGTTTTTGTGCGTCGATTGCTTAAAAGAAAACGTTGCTTGCACTCAAAATGGTCAGTGTTGCCCTGGAACAGAATGCACGTATGGAAGATGTAAAAAAGGATCCTCTAAAGGAGCTGCAGGTTTTAAATTTTATATTTTTTGAGTAAAATATATTTTAAATTTGTAATTTATTTAACTTTATAGTGATTCAAATTTATACTTTTTAAGTTTAAAAAAGCATCAAAAGTTAGCAAAACTTAATAACTATAAAAATACAAAATAAAATATAAAAAATACAAAACTGTTTTGCAAAATACTTTTGTATAACAAAAATGGTTCTATGACCTATGAATCAATACTATTAGTTCTGAAATATCATTTAAGGTACTTTTTGCGATAGACAAAAAGATTGCGTTGGTCCGGATTTGTGTTGCGTTCGTGAACCTGCTATTAATCCTGTCATCAGTATTTGTAAGCCTGCGCTTGATGAACATCAAACTTGTGGACCGTACAACCAATTTAGAACAGTATATATAGGAGGAACAGTTCAACCAGTTTGTGGACCTTGTAAACAAGGTTTAGTTTGCAAACAAGTGGGGTAAGAATTTTATTTAAAAAATTCCAGCAAATCACAAACTACATAAAACATTTAAACAAAATTAATGTTAACTATAATTGCTTGCTAAATTTCTATAATAGGTATATGGATACTTTAAAAAAATTATCCTTGTGTTACTTTTTATAAAATTTTATCCCCTCCTCATCCTCTTTTATATATATTTTATATATACAAAATGACATTTTTTTATTAAAAAAAAAAAAAAAAAACAGTAATTTTTAGTATTTGTCAAAAAAACTTCAAATAAGTATTTCAATGTTTTTACACTATAGAAGTATCCTCCATGACATCAATTGCATGCTTAATACAATTATAACCACAACTTTACCGTTGTTAAAAACGGTGTCAACTCATCAGACCGAAAATTCCTAAAATGTTTGGACAAAATTGGATGAACCTCATCTATTTTGAATTGTGATATAGCAACCTGTTTTACCATGTATTGATATCTGAAAATTATTTTAAAATCTCTGTTTTCTTACCTCAAATGTTCTCCTACTTCATTAGTTACAGTGATTAAGTTGATAAACTCATGTGTTCCTGGTTTTCTGCTGTCTTTTTCCAATTTTTTTAAATATATTTTTAATTTATCTTTCCACCGTTTTCTTAATGAACTAGAAGATTTAGCTTTTTTATTACATTTTTATCATTAACCACAATCACAAACATATTATGTTTACACTTTTTACGTTTAAAATTGGATTTTGTTTGTTTGAACAAGACCGCCAACAATCTTTGTATATTATTTATATTACAAAAATAAAATACATTAATTAGTTATAACCGATTAATAGTAAAGTTTTGACATTCTAACATCCAGTGCAAAATCTGTCCGCTATCTTTATGCTATCTTTTAAATCAACTTCTTCCGTATTTCGCTCTAACATTCTTTATTTTGCTTAAACTCGCTTAACTATTGGCTGGTTATGATGCTCTTTAGTGAGCTAAACTCATCTTCGCGTGCCTTGGTATGTGGCCTTATTATGGCAATTAGCCGGAGAATGATAAACCACCATGCCATCATTGTATACTTTCTAACCTTTTTTGATTAGTTCGAACCAAACATAATTCCTTTTTTTTCTTATTCGTTTCAAAAAGAAAACTATTTTTGTTCGACTAAAATTCTTATAAAATTAAAGTTTGATAATTATTTTTGTTACCTGCAAATAAACAAGTCTTGCAAGATAATTTGTTAAAATACAGTAACAAAACATCAAGAGGTGACAAATAATTTATCCTAACCTAATTAAAACAACTAAATAAGCAGACAACTTTTTTCATTTCTCAGAAGTATCACGTATACAAATAATAATAAGATTATTACTATTATTACTGTTTATTTCAAAATAAATCCTCATACATTGAACACTTTACTTTATGTTTAACGACAATGTAAAACATACAATTACAAATGTTGTTACAAATTCACCAACAACTTATAATTAGTCACACACGTTTTGATCTATCACAGCATTATTTTTAACTAATTATGTTAAAATATGCACCTATCACAGCAAATACATTATTTTTAACTAATTATGTCACTCCGTGCTTTTATTAACAGTTGATATGTTATATTCATATAAACCATTGCATGTTGTTATATAAATTGTGGACTATCTAACATAAAAAATATAGGAGATAAAAATGTTGAGCTTGGTAGGGGTGGGGCGATTTTTTTTAAGAGGCATAATACGTCTATGCTATAACAAGTGAACAATATAAAATATATACAATATAAGAGAAAAAAAAGTTAAGAAAACCATTCAACAACGTAGAAAAAATTATTTTTTTCATTAAATAATTTAGCAACATTGTCAACTAGTCACAGTATTTTGATAATTTTTTTGCTTTCTTTATATGACACTGGGACTAATGAAATTTAGTTTAAATCTTTTTTTTTGTCCTCGGGGTAAAGGATATTCAGAACTTATAAAGGCTCGGAGAAAATGCTTCTCCTATTAATTCATGGACAAATTTTTTGCCTACGTAGTTTCATAGTTTTATTATTGTTATCATTATTATTACTATTATTATAATTTTCATATTTTAAAATTTTTGTGTTTTTTCAGAACTAGCTCTTCTGTAGTTTAATTATTGTTGTTGTTGCGCTTTTTGAATTGTGTCTTATGGCTAATGATTGCCGAATATATATATATATATATATATATATATATATATATATATATATATATATATATATATATATATATACATATATATATATATATATATATATATATATATATATATATATATATATATATATATATATATATATATATATATATATATATCTTTAGTGTTGACATCGTGTATAAGAGTATATGTTATATTAGTCAGAAAACATCAATTAATACGAATTCTCTTAATACAATTAATAATTTATTATTAGAAATTTTCGCTGGATTATGGTTTCCAGCATCATCAGCTCGTAAAAATTATACAATAAAATTTTTTTGTATAACTGTTTCTAACGTTACAAAAAAAAATTTTATTGTATGTATGTATGTATGTATGTATGTATGTATGTATATATGTATGTATGTATGTATGTATGTATGTATGTATGTATGTATGTATGTATGTATGTATGTATGTATGTATGTATGTATGTATGTATGTATGTATGTATGTATGTATGTATGTATGTATGTATGTATGTATGTATGTATGTATGTTTGTATGTATGTATGTATGTATGTATGTATGTATGTTTGTGTGTATTTATGTGTGTATAAAAAACCTATAATTGTTTAGAATTTTTGGCGTTCATGAGATCTGTTTGCCATCTGGAGGTAAAGGAAAGAAATAAGCAAAGGAAAAAGAAAAGTTCACGAAAGCAAAGTTAAAAGCAATAATAAATTGAAATTAGCCATTCCTTAAAAGTACATTCAATAATATATTGGAATTAACAATACTTTGAAGAAAATTTAAAGCTTCATAGTTTAGTTGCATGGCTACCGAGCATGTTTTTTAGTAATGTTTTTTTTTTAAACAAATTATTAATTTATCTTTATACAAACAATTGCTTACACTTTGTTACGCACAATTAAAGTAGCCATTAAATATAACTTTGATACTTTAACAAGTTAAAACTGACTTTTAACTTAAAATAATCGTGTATCAATCTAATTAAATTTTAAAATAAAAGGTAAAACTGGGCTTTTTTATGCATAACTAAAATTTTTCATATATTGTATATTAGGTTATCCACTTTACAACTTTGTGTAAAATATCTTAGAACATGTGTATAATAATATTGTGAATGTTCAAAACACAAAGCTTTACTACTCTGTGTATATTAATTATTTAAAACGCATCTTTGTAAAAAAAAGTTGTACCCCTTAAAAGAAAATGTGTTTGTAATTTTTTAATCACTCATTATGCATGTTGGAATAGTCATGTAAGCGCGATAAACTATAAAATACAACATATAATGCAGTATCATGGTCGTAAAATAAATATTTATAATAACTATATAGAATTAAGTTGTAACTAAGCAAAAACAGCAAATCGAATACTGGAAATGAAAACACTCTATTACAAAGTAATTTAAACGAAAGTATTCAACAATTTTTCGTATGAAACTAAATGCCTACAAACATTGCAGCACTTTTGGTAAGTAACTACAATTAAGTTTTGGTGAACCCAGAAATTTCTTATTTTTAAGTTTAAGTTATGAACTTTATGTAAGCAACTAAAAGCAAAATAAATATTGCACTCAAACTATTTACTAAACATGTTAAAAAATTTATGCATATATATATATATATATATATATATATATATATATATATATATATATATATATATATATATATATATATATATATATATATATATATATATATATATATATATATATATATATATATATATATATATATGTATATATATATATATATATATAAACCGTATAAACACAAAATTACGGCGATGAAACCTAATTACAGACGTTTTATAAAAAGTTACGCGTTTTATATATTATATCAAATTAAACATTTTTTTTTTGATAAGTAAACTTTAAAACAAGACAAACCAAACGGTGAAAAAAAAATTTTACAATTGTGTTAGATTTCAACTTGAAATCTAGCAAAATTAAATTAACAAAAAAAAAAATCATTTTTGAAATCCACTAAGTCAAGTTGGTCGGTTCAGTCAAAATATGTGAAAAAAGTCGGTTTAGTCGAAATATGAGAATAATTTATTTTTTTGAAATAAATTGTAACAAAAATAATAAAGTAACTTATATTCGCTTTCCAATTTTTCAACCTTATGTTATTGAAATATTAATGGAGCAAAACAATATGAGAGAGGGGCCGCTCCGACAACGGGACAATTTATTCACAGAACCCAATAATTTATGGCCTACCTTAAATACTCGCTATATATCAAATATATATATATTATAATCATATTTACAATGTGATTGTACAGATGATATTTAGAGTTTGGAGATTCACAACTTAATTTTGCCCCAGGTACTCGAGCCAGATTGGAACAGTCCTGTATTAAAGTATTTATGAAAAATCATAAGCATCGAGTTTAAAAAAGAAAAAAAAGAAGAAGTACATAATCAAAAGTTTAGTTAGGTAGAGGAAGTTTGTGTACCTAGGGTCTCCTTGTATCTCCCCCACTTTAAGTAATAGTTTTCCATAGTTATAAAAAGTATTTATTTAATAATCCTATTTTGATTCCTAGAGAGCGTTGCTACGGCAAGTTATAATCAGAAAACGCTTTTTGATAGTATAAAGTAAGTTTTTGCCGCTAGTATCGTAGATTATTTTACAATTCTACAGGAAATGCTTTTCTATAAGTTCTTTATATTATACTGTTTGTTACTAAAGTATTAAATGCGGTGTTGAATAAGTTTTCTCTCAATCGGGATTCATTAATAGATGGTATTTTTTATGGGGTTATCATTTTTGTACCAAGTGCCATATAGTTTGCTTGTACCAAGAGACATAAGTCCGTAACAATAATATATTATATAAACTAGATGTCTAACTAACGGGATTTTATTGGACAAAAAATGAAGTCGCTTTTTTTTTTTTTGTTTATAAATATAGTCCACCATTTGTAAAAAGGGCAAAAGCTGAAGCCGATGTGTGGAATAAAAGTTAAAAATGCAAGTCAAAAGTTCCCAATAAATTAAAGATAATTCAAAAACACATTTTAATAATTATAAAATACAAAATTTAATCGAAAATAAATTTAGGAATCATAAGTTATTATTTTAAAAGTATTCAAATTTCCTCTTTAAACTTTTATATAAATAGTAGTTTAGAGTGACGGTGTTAGGTGTCGGCAACATCGGTGATTGCCGACGGCCTCGCGCTTGAAGGGACCTCGCAAAAATATACTTAAAAAAATTAAATATCTTAATTATAATTAATGATATTTTTAGATATATTATTTTGCTTTCCTGGACGAAAATATGTTTATTTGTCGGTTTTATTATCGGTATTATATTACTTCAACTTTAAATGAATATCATTTTCTATGAATCAATCTTATTCTGTTTCTGATAACATAAAAGCATTTTTAAAAATTGTTTATTGAGGCGTAACGTATAGTTAACTATATAATTAACAAGGAATGTTAATATTCGATTGTAGATCTATAAAAAATTTGATCGTCTCTTTTTATTCCATTTTTATTTGATTTTATTAATTATTAGTTTTATTTGATTTTAAAAATTATTAGTAAAACAATTATAAAATCTGAGAAATGAAAATTAATTCGAATTCAAATTTAAGTTTTTTTTATTTTAACCTAACTAACTTAGTTTATTAAGTTATAATTTAAATATTAAATATAGTACAATTATTTAAGCAATTATTGCTTGCAATTACAATCTGTTATAAAAGCAATAACGAAATAAGTGAACATTACAAACTATACTATAAATAAAATTTAACTCATTATTCAATTAATTACTCGTAAATTTAAAAATTCAATTAAAAATGTTCCTCAATCTTGACCTAAAATTAATACTATAAAAAAATAATTAAAATCAAAACTTAAAATTCATGCAAGCACCTAACTATATTTTTTTTCATTTATTTCATTTTTAAAATCCACTTTATTAGAAAATATAAATGATGCAAAGCAACTGTACATATTACAGTATATTTTAGAAAATAATTTTGAAGAAATACACTGAGGCATATTCGTTTAGACCCATCAATTTTTTTCTCTTTATCTTAATTTTTTTCTATAAATTGTCAACTGATATGCATGCAAGTTTTTATAAAAATAATTGTTGTGTTGTGGGCTAATAAAAACCACAAAAAAAATTTTTCTATGTGTCTTTGTTAACATAAGAGTATGTTTGATATAAAAAAGCACATTTTTTAATTGGAATATATCTATAGACGCAATCAGGTTAATAACGGTAATTAATGATTTTTAATCACTTTTACACAAATAAATTGATAAATTTTAGTGTAATTTGATCTTTTGCTCTGCCAGTATTATTTTTATTGCATTTTACAAAATGCCTAAAGGAAAGTATTTGAAAGATGCTGAAAAAATACAAATTAATTTATATCGTGCTCAGAAATCTCACCAGCACTTTCTATACGAGAAATAGCAAGAAAAATTGGAAGATCTGACCATGTTATACGAAACTACATTGCAAAAGGTTGACAATTACGGTGTAAAAAAAGCAACAAACGGCAACAAAATATTAATAAATCGGCAAATTAATCGAACTCGCTTCGAAGCAACCAAAAATAAATTGAATGCAACACAAATAAAGGATAAATTATTATTGCCTGTCACCAATAAACATGTTGCACATATTCTACGTACAACACCAAACGTAAAGTGGAAGAAACCACACCAAAAACCAATAACAAAAACCAAAAACCACACCAAAAACCAAACATAAAATTGCTAGATTACAGTTTGCTAAAAACCATATGCATTGGACTCATGAGTGGCAAAATGTAATATTTTCAGATGAAAAAAAGTTCAATTTAGATGGTCCGGACTCTTACAGTTGTTATTGGCATGATCTAAAAGGAATAAATGATCCACAAACAAATCGAAATTATGGTGGAGGAAGTTTAATGGTTTGGGGTGGATTTTCTTATTCAGGAAAATTGACTCTGTGTTGTGGTTTACCTAAAATGAACTCGATAAAGTATACAGAAATGTTGGATGATGTTCTCATAACTTATATAGATGAAAACATGGACAATAATGCCATATTTCAGCAAGATAATGCTGCAATTCACACATCTAGGCACCACTCATCTATGAAATGGTTTAAAGATCACAACATCCCGGTTCTCGAATGACCAGCTTGTAGCCGGACTTAAATCCAGCTTGTACCCGGACTTAAATCCAATCGAGAACGTGTGGGGAATGCTAGCAAGAAAAGTTTATGACGCTAAAGCAGCTGGACACCAATTTAAAACTGTTACGGAATTAAAGTGTAAAATCCTTGAAGCATGGTCCGAGTTGGATCAAACTACATTTCAACGACTAGTGGAGTCAATGAAAGGCAGAATTTTTGAGGTGATCCAGTGTAATGGGGGACATACGGATTACTAATTTCCTTCTTTTAAAGTCAAAAATATGACTGCGTCTATAGATATATTCCAATTAAAAAATGTACTTTTGTATATCAAACATACTCTCATGTTAATAAGGACACATAGAAAAATTTTTTTGTGATTTTTATAAGCCCACAACACAGCAATTATTTTGATAATAACTTGCATGCATATCAGTTGACAATTCATAGAAAAAAATGAAGATAAAGAGAAAAAAATTGATGCGTCTAAACGAATATGCCTCAGTGTATATCCCCAAACATTTACATAACAATCAGAATAATACTCACAATTCCAGTAAGTACAGCTTCTGCTGAGAGAAGCTTCTCAAAGTTAAAACTGATAAAGACCTACTTAAGAAGCACGATGAGCCAAGAAAGACTCTCTACTTTATCCATTTTATCCATTGAAGTTGCAATAGCAGCGGGTGTTGTTATGACACAATTTTAAAAAGATTCAGCAAGGCTAAAAGCCGAAAAGTTCGTCTTTTTTAATTCGTGTTTGTTCGTGTAATTATTGCTATTAATTCATATCATAGTTAACAATAAAACTTATATGCTCCTCTTAAATTTTTCAATCTAAATTTTTAAACTTATAATGAAACCTGATATTTAAATATTAAGTGTGAATACCTACAAGAAAAGTTAAATAGTATTTGTTAACAAATTTAAAAAGGTGAAAGCGGCTTTATTTTTTGGATCGAAGTTAGACCAACTAGTTTATACAATATATAACTGATGCGTAAAGAATTTGCTTAATAATGAGGTAGATTGTTGAATTTTGATTGGTGCAGAATTTATTTTTGCTCGCGGTTGTTTTAGGACTACTATTTTGCTCGTAGCCTTATTTGTCAATCTTTCACTATTATTCAACGTAGTTATCTCTTTAAGTGAAGTTATTAAGTAGATAAGTTTGTTGAAAACAATCTAAGATTAAATAAATACATAAATTTTCAAGTTTATATGTCTATCTTTGTTGTCGATTTATTATGGAGTTAAACCTAACTTTATAATAGTACCCCTAGGTTCAACAGTTAGTGGCCTTAGATACAAC